CAGCCTCGCTCTATCTCCTGAGGCGCCTTGGGAACAGGCTGGTGACTCCACTTGAGAGACCAGGAGGCCGTGTCCCCGAGAGGCTGAGGGGCGCAGCGGACTGGCCAGGGCCGGGCTGGGCCAGAGCTTTCTAGAAGCTCTTCTCCTGTGGTTGGGGAGCGGGAGATGATGCAGGCAGGCCCCAGGCAGGGGGCTTGGGGGGTCTAGGTGACTGGCCCCGAGACCCTCTGCATGGCCTCTAACTCCCTGGGAAGCTGTCAGACAGGGAGGATGGAGGAGGTCTGTCTGGGATGCCTCTTTTGTGTGAGTCGGGGTCTGGCTCCTGGCTCCCAGTTCCTGCCCTGCAGTGAGTCTTCTCCGTCTTGTCTGCCTCGCAGCCCCCCCACCCCCCCAGCAGCAGAGAAGATGGTCTCTCTCCCCCTCCCCCATCTCACACACATTCATTCACTGACTGGCCCCTCAGGCTCCCCTACTCTGCCCCCTGGGCCTGCAATGCCCCTCCCTGGCTCCCCTAGGCCCAAGGCTGCCATGAGAGCCATGTTAGTGACACGATGGCCCCCGTCCAGGAGTCGCTCCTTCTGCATCTTCCTGTCGCCGCCACCAGGCTAAATATAACCTGACACTGCACAGCCCTGCGCGGAGACAGCGTCTCTGCCTGGGGGCGGACAGGGCTCCGGGGCCCCAGCCTCCTGCCCTCAGCGTGACTTTGGGCTCAGCTCCTCTTGCTGGGAGCGGGACGGGGAGGGGACCAGGGCCAGGATGGCTGCCTCCCTGAGGTCACCTTCCTTGCAGGGCCCTGTTTCGTTGCAGCTCTGGATGCTCCCGCAAGCCATCTGTCATCTCATCCTGCGGCCAGGGCAGGAACCACGCATCCCCGTGGTGCCCCAGGGAGTCCGACGCTCAGAGAGGCGAGCGGCCTGCCCACAGTCACACAGCTCTGGCTCAGGTCTCCTGGTGGCTGGGCAGGTCACCTCTGCTCCCAGCCCGGCCTCTGCCTCGGTTATCCTCTCTTCCTCATCTTGCCCGGGCTCCGGATTGGGGTCCTGTTGACTCCCTGGCGCAGTGAGGGCAGGTGCCAGGCCTGTGTGGTTTGTGCTGCCCAAATGCTTGGCATTGGTGCCCTCAGTGACTGCTCGCAGGGGATGAAGGAGCATCATGACCTGTTTACAGGCAGATGTCTGACCTGGGGGTTTGCAGAAGGACCCTCGAATTCTTGCTGGCCCCTCCACCGCTGGCCGCACCGCCCTGATGGCTAAGGCCTGAGAATGGTAACACTGAGGCCGGGGGTGCCCAGAGGTGGGAAATCCAGTTTGGGACTGCGAGTGCCCCCCGCCCCCCATGGGTTGGGACACTGGGCAAGATTGTGCCCAGCGGTGGAGGGGCAGCAGATGAGTGTAAGCCAGCATGTGTTCTGGTGAACAACAGCCCCTTCCGTGGGGTCAGGAAGAGCTGCACCTGCTGCACCTGGAAGGTGTCCAGGCCTGGTTCTCCCCCGGGCCCCTCCCGCTGTCCCCTCCTCCCCTCCTCCTCAGTGACCTTTGGTGAGCTGCATGCTGGGCCTGCTTTCCTGTCTCCATCCCCACAGGATCCAGCGTGCCCTGGACTCCAGGAGGGGGCAAGGGCTGGGCACTCAGCCTCTCCCCACTTCCCTCCCCGAGCCAGGTGTCCTCAGCTTGGGCTGGGGGTTGGGGGTGTGAGTAAGGGCTCTTGGCAGCAGCTACTAGAGCCAGATGGCTTGGGGCCTCTCCACTGGGGGGCCCCATCCACCTGGCTCTCACTCTCCTCCTTCCAGGATCAGGACTTCCCATGAGCCCTGCTTCTGCTTCACACATGTCATCCCTCCCTCCAGCCTCCTGGGGTGGGCGTGACGCTGGGGCGGGGAGGTGAGGTGACTTGCCCAAGGTCATTCGGACACAACGAGCAAAGGCGCTTTGATTCCACAGCCTGAGTTGGGGAACCCCATATCCTATCTGTGGGCAGAGCGGGGGCGGGGGCGGGAGGTGGGAATCCCTCCACCCCTCTCCTCCCAGCACCCTCTGGCGCTGGCTGCCGCGGGAGTGTGGGCCGCGCCTGCCACGGTGTGGCTCTCTGCGGAACTGCAACCTCACACAGCTGGGCCGGCAGTCAGCCTCTGCCTGGGGCAGGGCAAGGTGTGAGGGAGGAGAGGAGAGATTGAGAGCCAAGAGCAGGACTGTGGGGGCAAGGTACTGTGTGTGCTAGTGTCAGCCTGGGTCTCAGAAGCAGCATAGCCACCGGCTGCCGACATTTCTGCCGTGTGAGGGTCAGAGACCAGGCCTGACCCTGCTCCTGCTATCCCTGTGCCCCACCCTGACCTGGGTCTGAACCTCAGCTGCCCTCAGGGAGCCCCACCTCCCATACTCACAGCCAGTAGGGGGTCCACTGGAAGGTCTGGCTGGAGGGCTGGGGAGAGTGATGTGTCGCTCACTGAAGACCCCACTAACCAACCAGCCAACCAAGCGAGCGGGGGTGGGGGTGGGAGTGGGGGGTGGGCAGGCAGAGCCTCAGAGCTGCCCGCTTTCCTTTCTGCCCTGTCTCCTTGAGAACAACAGCTGGAGCCTCCTCTCTCCTGCCACGTCCCGCAGCCACCAGGCAGGGCTCCAGGGCACATTTTTGGAAGAAGCTGGGCTTTGACAGGGCTATTTGAAAGGAAAAATTCCTTGAATGTCACCAAGGGAGAGAGGGCCGAGGGGACTCAGCGGATGAGTGTGTGTCTGGGGGCAAGGGTGAGCCTGAGCTGCAAGGAGGCTTCTATTTGAGTTTCTGCAGCCAGGCACGGGGTGGGCTGGCAGAAGCGGTTCTGACTCCCTCACTGAGGAGTCTGAATGGAGTGGGCAGGGTGCGAAGGCCTCAAGGTCAGAATCCCAGGCTGTCCTGAGAGGTTGGGCTCTTCCGGGTTCCAGACTCTGGACTTCTGGAACAAGTTTCTCGTGAGGAATGAGGACCAGGACCTTGGATGCTGGGGTCCTGGGGCTGGCTGTTTGGGATCCCCAGGGCTAAGGTTTCCTGGTCTCTGGCCTCTCTAGTCCAGATCAGGGCCAGTCCCTGCTCAGGCCGCTGTTGGCCATCACCATATTAGGACATGAACTCTAGGCGGGCTGTCTGGGTGCCAAACAGTCTCCAGCTGGGTCCGGCCCCCTGCAGCTCCCAACACCACGGCTGTGCTTCAGTTGGGCCATTTCAGAGGTCAGGGGACAGTAGAGGCTGCTGCTGAGAGATCCAGACAGAGCCCCCAGCTTAGGTTCTGAGGGCTGAGCCAGAAGGGCCTGGGATGAGGTGAGTGGAAGGACCTCAGAGAATCCCTGTCAGCCCCTCACCTGGTCCAGGCCCCCTCCCCTCCCATCCTGTTTCAGTTGGTTGCAGAGGATCTCCTTCCACAAGGTGAATCCCACGGCTGTTAGAACTGCTGCTCTGCAGAAACCAGGCCCTTCACGCCTGGTCTGCTCAGGCCATTGCTGCCGCACTCCCCACGGCTCTACCACCAGCGCCTGTCCAGAGAGCCTCCAGATTGCTGGCCCTCCCTTGACTCAGCCCACCACCAATACTTCCTCTCCACCGTTCCCACCAGCATCGCCCCATCACTGGCCCACTGGCCAAGGCCTGCTCCCTGCTGTGTTGTTCTAGGAGTTAGGCCAGCAGAGGGGACACACACTCTGTGAGTTAGGTCCCTGCTACTCAGGGAAGACAGGTGAACAGGTGGACAAGAAAAGAAGTCTCTGTCCCCAGAAGAAAGCGTGATGAGGGACAAGCCTGGAGCCCGCAGGGAACATGGAGAAAGAGGAATAGGATGTTAATATGAGCATCAGGGTCTTCAGAAGTCGGCAGAGGAGGGGGAGAGGCTGTTCGCTGGACAGAGAGCGGAGGTAGATGGGGCACATCTGGCCTGGGGGACTGGTCTCCCCTGGGAGCCAGGCAGAGAGAGAGACTGGGAGAAAAGAGAAAGACAGGAGCCCAGCCAGCGTGGCTCAGTGGTTGAGCATTAACCTATGAACCAGGAGGTCATGGTTCGATTCCCAGGCAGGGCACATGCCTTGGTTATGGGCTCGATCCCCGGGGCAGCCAATCAATGATTCTCTCTGTCATTGATGTTTCTTGCTCTTTCTCTCTCTCTGAAATCAATAAAAATATATTTTTAGAAAAAGAAAGAAAAGAAAGACAAGGAGAGACAGTGATGCAAGATTTAGGAGCAGTGCTTCACGGCTCTTTGGTGAAGGATCACTTTTCTTTCTAATACATCACAGACCTTTGTGAAGTACAAATTCACATGCTTGGACATAGTGGCAATGTCGAATTGCTTGAAGGTTTTGAAACTCTTGCTTTCAACTTCTGAGTGCATCTTGTTGTGGACTGACAACAGCTGGGACTAACGCAGAGAGATCAAGATGGGGACAGAGAGCGATCACTAGCCCATGTGCAGTGTTCAGTGTACGCCGGGCATTGCTCTAGGCCCTCAGCATGCGGTGACTTCATCTTTGTAACTTGGGACTAAGGAACTAGGGTTCCCACTTTATAGATGTGGAAAACGAGGCACAGGAAGGTTAACTAAGTTGAGCATGATGCATAAATGTCTAAATGGCAGAGGTGGGATTTGAACCCAGAGACCCTGGGCTTAATCCCCACACTGCACTACCCTGTGTGAGGGTCATAAGGATACATTGAGAGGCGAGGGAGAATGAGAGGACCAGGTGGAGGCAGAAAGGAGCTCAAGCCAGGGTGAGGGAGAACGCACATGGGGAGAGAGAGGGAATGCCTGGCCAGCAGCAAGCCAGAGCAGGTAAACTGAAGTCATAAGCTTGGTCTGGCAGGCACAAAGCTGCAGGGGTAGGTGGGGTGGGGTGGGGTGGGTGAGTCAGGACACTTGGCCAGGAAGGGGCAGAACTGTGTGAGCCACGGGGGAGGCAGACATGGACGGGCGCCTTCAGGTTTCTGCTCTGCCCCCCGGGGGCCTTGGTGCCACAGTGGCCGTGTTCCCCACTCCACAGGGAGCTGCTTCCTGTGCCTGGTGGACGTGGTACCCGTGAAGAACGAGGATGGGGCTGTCATCATGTTTATCCTCAACTTCGAGGTGGTGATGGAGAAGGACATGGTGGGGTCCCCGGCCCATGACACCAATCACCGTGGGCCTCCCACCAGCTGGCTGGCCCCAGGTACGTGCAGCCACACTGGGACTGGGCAGGAGTAACGAGCTCTCCCTCTTCTGGGGCCACGAGGCTACCCAGGGCCATTGGCCTGCAGGAAGGAATGTGTGTGGGGTCCCTCAGAGGTTCCTGAGGACATGGCCTAGACCCTCTGGCTCAAAATGAACAGACAGAGACAGAGCGACAGAGCCGCAGGTCCTTGGGGCAAGACTGCACCCGGTGTCCTAGCTTCACCTGCGCGGCTTTCCGCCACAGCGTCCTCTGGGTGTGGTCCGCTCTGCAGCCCAGGCTTAGGGCATTCACCCCTCGGAGCCGCTCCCTTTGCTCTCAGAAGGCTGGTCTCTCAGGGACTCAGACGTCCTTCTGGCGAACCTCTGCCCCAATCCTTGTCCCTGGTGTGGCCTGGGCTGGTTGAGGAGAGAATGTGAGGGGAATGGTCACCGTGGCTGGGGACACGGAACCCTCACCTCATGCCCGGTGACTCGGGCTGACTTTTTTCCTCCCGGACGTGGCCTCTTTGGGTTTAAGTCTAATTAGCCCTTTAGAGCCATGGCAAAAGAGTCCACCGTGCGGTCTCTCAAGCCCTAAACTGGCAGTGTTACCGCTGGGGCCCACTGCACGTTGGCAGGGTCTGGCAAGAAGGTCTGTCCCGTTGGAGGTAGCCCGCCAGGTGCTGTGCGGCCCCAGCAAGTCACAGTGCAGGGTGCCTGCTCCCGGCGTGCAGTGTTGTTGCCCACGGCGCAGAGCCCACTGGGGTATTTGGCTCAAGAAATAGTTTATTATTTTCAGAGCCTTGGGTAAGATTGGGTTCTAGAATTAAAAAACAAATTATTGATTTTTTAGAGAGGAAGGGAGAGAGATAGAAACATCGACCAGCTGCCTCCTGCACCTCCCCTACTGGGGATGTGCCCATCCAGTTGCCTCCTGCACGTCCCCCACTGGGGATGTGCCCGCAGCCAAGGTACGTGCCCTTGACCGGAATAGAACCTGGGACCTTTCAGTCCGCAGGCTGACGCTCTATCCGCTGAGCCAAACCGGTTTCAGCGGGTCCTAGACTTTTCTGAGATGGGTGGAAGTCGGGTGGAGAGGTGGCCACTGTCAGGCTCCCACTCCCCACCTTCCGTCTGTTTGCAGGGGCTTCGGCTCCGGGGCCTCCCTGTCTGTTTGCAGGGGCTCCGGCTCCGGGGCCTGCCCCTCCCGCTGCCCCTGTCCCCCGGCCACAGCTCCCTTCTCCCCGCAGGTCGCGCCAAGACCTTCCGCCTGAAGCTGCCGGCCATGCTGGCGCTGACCGCCCGGGAGCCCGCGGGGCGGGGCCGCGCCCGGGCTGCGGGGGCCGGGGCCGTGGTGGTGGACGTGGACCTGGACCTGGCGCCCGCGGCGCCCGGCGGCGAGGCGCTGGCCCCAGACGCGGCCCTGGACAACCACGTGGCGGGGCTGCGGCCCGCGGAGGAGCAGCGCGCGCTCGTGGCCCCCGGCTCCCCGCCCCCCTGCGAGCCTGGCCCGCACCCACCACCGGGCCTGGGCGCCGAGGCCTCGGGCTCCACCTGCAGCCTGGCCCGGACCCGCTCCCGGGAGAGCTGCGCCAGCGTGCGCCGCGCCTCCTCTGCCGACGACATCGAGGCCATGCGCGCGGGGGTGCTGCCCCCGCCCCCGCGCCACGCCAGCACCGGTGAGGGCACCTCCCCGCCTGCCACCGGTGAGGGCTCCTCCCCATCTGCCACCGGTGAGGGCACCTCCCCACCTGCCACCGGTGAGGGCTCCTCCCCATCTGCCACCGGTGAGGGCACCTCCCCACCTGCCACTGGTGAGGGCACTTCCCTACCTGCCACCGGTGAGGGCACCTCCCCATCTGCCACCGGTGATGGCTCCTCCCCATCTGCCACCGGTGAGGGCACTTCCCCACCTGCTACCGGTGAGGGCACCTCCCCGCCTGCCACCGGTGAGGGTACCACCCCATCTGCCACCGGTGAGGGCACCTCCTCACCTGCCCTCACCTCCCCCTCTGCCACTGTTGAGGGCACCTCCCCGCCTGCCACCGGTGAGGGCACCTCTCTACCTGCCACCGGTGAGGGCTCCTCCCCATCTGCCACCGGTGAGGGCACCTCCCCATCTGCCACCGGTGAGGGCTCCTCCCCACCTGCCACCGGTGAGGGCACCTCCCCACCTGCCACCGGTGAGGGCACCTCCCCACCTGCCACCGGTGAGGGCACCTCCCCGCCTGCCGCCGGTGAGGGCACCTTCCCGCCTGCCACTGGTGAGGGCACCTCCCCGCCTGCCGCCGGTGAGGGCACCTCCCCATCTGCTGCCGACCTGCCCAGTTCCAGGACCGCAGCTCCGTCTCCACTCGTCCAGGGTGCTGGGAAGGGAAACCCCGTAGGTGCTGGTGGACTCCCACCCAGTGCCCGCCCAGCGTGGTCCATTCAGGCGCACTCAGAGCCTGCTCGGCATGAAGCTGGCTCCCACTCGGTCCTGGAGGGGGGATGGCCTGGGGGTCTGAAGGACGGGGCAGCATCGGGGTCCCTGCCCCTACCTGACCCTCTGGCGGGTCACAGTGCCCAGAACAGAGCCCAGGGAGGCTCCTCCTACCCCGCCGTCTCCTAGCTGCTCACCGGCGCTTCCCTCATGTGGGGAGGAGTCTGGCCTGTTTCTCAGCGACTCTGCCCAGCCCTGGGGCTGGGTTCCATGACACACTGACCCCCATGGCTGGCCTCTGCAGGCCTGGACTCTATCCCCGTGTCATTCTGGCCCCTGCCTGCCCCCATATCCCACTCTCCCCCCACCCAGGAGCCATGCACCCCCTGCCTGCCACCCCCACCCCACTCTCCCCCCACCCAGGAGCCATGCACCCCCTGTCTGCCACCCCCACCTCCCTCTCCCCCCACCCCAGGGCCAGGCACCCCCTGCCTGCCACCCACACCCACTTTCCCCTCACCACAGGGCCATGCACCCCCTGCCTGCCACCCACACCTCACTCTCCCCCTACCCCAAGGCCAGGCACCCCCTGCCTGCCACCCACACCTCACTCTCCCCCCACCTCAGGGCCATGCACCCCCTGCCTGCCACCCACACCTCACTCTCCCCCCACCTCAGGGCCATGCACCCCCTGCCTGCCACCCACACCTCACTCTCCCCCCACCCAGGAGCCATGCACCCCCTGCCTGCCACCCACACCTCATTCTCCTCCACCCCAGGGCCAGGCACCCTCTGCCTGCCACCCACACCCACTTTCCCCTCCCCACAGGGCCATGCACCCCCTGCCTGCCACCCACACCCACTCTCCCCCCACCCCAAGGCCAGGCACCCCCTGCCTGCCACCCACACCTCATTCTCCCCCCACCCCAGGCCCATGCACCCCTGCCTGCCAGCCTGACTCCACTCTCCCCCCACTCAGGGGCCATGCACCCCCTGCGCAGTGGCCTGCTTAATTCCACATCAGATTCGGACCTCGTGCGCTACCGCACCATTAGCAAGATCCCCCAAATCACCCTCAACTTTGTGGACCTCAAGGGCGACCCCTTCCTGGCGTCGCCCTCCAGCGACCGGGAGATCATAGCACCCAAGATAAAGGAGCGGACCCACAATGTCACCGAGAAGGTCACCCAGGTAGGCGCCCTGGCTCTCCCCTCAGCTCCGAGGAGCTCAGAAGGGTTGGGTGTGGGCTGGTCAAAGGTGGGGGGTGGGCACAGTGAGGCCTCTGAGGGCTGGGAGTGGGGTTCCAGAGCTGGGGGAGAGGGCAGTCTGGGAGGTTCCGGAGAAAAGGAGGCTGGAGGGCAGGTGGCCGGGGGACAGGCTGGGTACAGAGAACAGGTGACGGGTCCCGGGAGACAGTGCAGGTGATGCTGGGTCCCTGAGAGGGTCAGGGTGGTGGGAGAAGGCAGCCACAGGGGCATGGCGGGGTGTGCTCTTAGGGTGTCACGAGGGGAGCACTGAGGGGCAACCAGCAGGAGGCTTTGATTAGAAGGGGCCACAGAGGCCCAAGTTGGGGGTCCTGATTCTTCTAGGCCAAGGCGATGAGCCAGGGAGAGAGAGGGTGGGGGCTGGTGCTAGGGGCCAGGGTGGCCTGGAGGTGCCCCCCCCTCGGTTCCCCAGCAAGGCTGGGAGGGGAGGGTATGGTGGTGGGGGCACAGCTGTGGAGTGACCATGCCCCTGGCTCTGGGGGCCGTCCCAGCACTGCCTGGTGTCAGGGCCAGCCTTGTCTCCCGCCCCCTCTCGGCAGCCAGATCGCCTGCATCACCCTCACTGCCCAGTCCATTCCAGATCCTTCCTCAAGTCCTGGCAGAGGGTGAGAAGCCTGGGGCAGGGGCTCCTGTCCCTGGCCGGCCGTGCCTCAACCCCACGGCCGTCCCCTGCCCCTCCCACAGCGACTCCCCTAGTTGGCCCCGGAGAGAGCCGCCGGCTGCCGCCCCAGCCCTCCTCCTGGCCCTGCTCCCGCTGCCTCTGGCTCCTGGGTCCCTGCCAGGTCTCCAGCCCCTTGGCCTTGAGTCCAGAATGTTCCCCCGCACCCAGGCCCCTTATCTGGCTGCCTTTCCCTCCCGCACTGGCCCCTGGCTCTGCTGTTCCCACGTGGAGCCCTGCTCCTGGCCCACAGTGCCCGCTTCTGTGTGCTTGTGGTCTGTGCGTGTGCGTGTGCCTGTGTGTCCGCTGTTCCCGGCTCTGCCCATCTCTCCGTCTCTGGCCGTCTGGCCGTCTGTTTGGCTGGCTGGCTGGGTACGGGACTGGCGGGCGGGCGGGGGTGTCGGGGAGACCATTAATCTGTGGTGACAGGCCGGGCTGCTGGGGGAGGGGAGGGGTGCGGGCTGCAGGAGCGGCTGCTGCAGGAGCCCGGAGCGGCTGCGGGGGAGGGGGCCGCTGGCCGGGCTGGCGGGTGGGGGTGGGGACAGGAGGAGGAGGGGCGGGCCAGGAGCCGAGGTTCTGACCGGGGAGCCGCGGCCGGGCTGGCTGCAGGCAGAGCGCAGCACCCTGGCAGCCGGGCCTGTACCAGGGGCCATGGGCAGCCGGAGCCAGGCGGGCGGCCATCCACGCTCGCTGCCAGGGTGACCCCGGCCCTGGGGCCCAGCCCCAGCGATCCTGGCTTCCTTCCAGAGGCTGCCCTGGGAGCCAGGCCGCCAGTCTCTGGGGCGCAGCCTGGGCTGGGACTGCTGCTGGGGCGCAGGTGAGGCGCTGGCCGGGCCCTCGGGCCCCCGGGCAGGCAGGCTGGGGGGAGCCAAGTCCTCCATGGCGGCCTCCGCCAGGAAGGTGAGCAGGACTGGGGCTCTGCAGCCCCGGGCCCGGAAAGGCCGGGTCAGGCGGGCCGTGCGCATCTCCAGCCTGGTGGCCCAGGAGGTAGGTGACCCCCAGCCCCTCCCTCTCCCTTCCAGGCCGGGCACTGACTCAGGACGCAGCCCCGAGGACTCTGGCTCCAGGCCAGGGAGAAGCAGGACAGTGTGGGGAGCCAGAGGGTCCGCAGCCCTGTTCATCCCACTCCTGGCTCCAGGTCACTCCTCCCAGGCCTGCGGGGCCTGGCAGATAGGATTTTTTTTGCAGGACTCTCCTCGCTGAGGGCTCCCATGGCCCACACTCTTCCAGCTCAAAATGCTCTGGGAGGGAGGATGGGGGAGTGAAATGGGTGCCCAGAGAGGATGGTGGGAGACCTGGAGAGGAGCTTGCCTCCCCGTCCCACCACGCTTCCTGCAGTGGGCAGCGGCCAGGCCCGGCCTGGGCCAGGCCCGGCGGTGGGCTCCACCGCCCGTCTTCTCCACGTGCCGGGGGAGGCGGTGGTGGTGAGGGAGGCGCCGGCTGCTTCAGTGGTCCAGGCTTTGGGGCCGGAGTCTGAGGAGGGCGGCGTCAGAGGACATTGGATGCTGGTGAGGGTAGCTGGACTGAGGGACCTGGCTCCCCTGGGACAGCCTGAGCTGATGAGCCCGTAGGTACCTTCTGAGAGCCACCTTTCCCTCCCAAGTCAGAGAGCCTGGGGAGGGTGGCAGAGGGGGTGCTGGAGGTGGCTCAAGGGTGAGTCTGAGAATCCCACCGCTGCACCACCACCTGGCCACACTCTCTGCCTTGGCTCATGTGCTCCTCCCAGCCGGTGGACGGGTCCGGGAGAATCCTTCCCACCCACGGGGGAGGATCCAGGATTTGGTTTGATGGGCTTCAGTATTCTGTGGGTCACGGGAAGTTACTCACCTGGCCCACGGCCTACAGTACACTGGTGGTTGCAGAGCTGGGTCTGGTTCTCGAGAGGTGATGTCTGCAGGTCCAGGTCTTGTGTCCAGGCTTGCCCCATGAGTGTGTGTGTGTATATGCACATATGTGTGCACGTGTGTGTGTGTGTGTGTGTGTGTGTGTGTTAGGGTGGTGTTGATCCTGCTATGGGCAGACCACAGGGACTTGATCTCTGTTATCAGGTGTGGTTTTGCCTCTAAGGCACTTGGAGGAGACCTAATGAGGCAGGGGGCGGGGGGGGGGGGGAGGGGGGAGAAGGCAGTTACCTTATACTGTCCCTTGTCTGCGGGGCCCTGGTCAGTTCCTTTTTCTCAATCTATGCTTGACCCTGGGAAGGCCACTGCCCATGTTCTCTGCCTCAGGGAGCGGGCAGCTCGGGGTGAAGGCAGGGCAGAGCGGGGACCTGAAGTCACACGCTCCCTCCCTGCCCTAGGCCCCAGCTGCTTCTGCCACCCATCGTGTGCCTTTGGAGCCTGTGGCCAACCCAGGTGGACAACCCCCTAACTATTGCCTGTCAGAACTTCCGGTTACTTCTAAGGCAATGTTTCCCAAACAGTCCCTTTGGTGAGGGTGGGGCAGGGAATCCCCAGCTTGAATGTGAGTAGGACGCTGAGGCTCCACCCACATGGCCCTCCCCAGCCCGGAGGCCTGAGGAGGGGGGTGAGGGGGGTAGGAGGGACTTGGCAGTCAGTGCTACAGCAGCAGGGCTGGCAACCTTGGCTCTCAGGGTGGGCCAGGCCGGGAGAGCTTGAGGAGGGGGGCTCCTGGTTGAGTCAAATGTCTGTGAGAGAAGATTCTCAGGGGTAGGGGGACACACAGAGGCTCCTGGGACAGGGTGAAGTTGGCCTCAGCTCTTCCTAGTTTGGCTTGGGGAGAGCGTGGCGTACTATTGCCACCTGGTCTGGGTGGTGAGCTGCCTGTGCCTGACGCTGTGCGGCAGGGTGTGGGGTGAGCCTCTGCTGGCTGTCTATGCACTTCTGGACGCCTGCCCTGTGTGCGTCCCTCTGTGTGCATATGGGCACGTCTCTGCGGGTTAGGAATGGGAGAGGGCTGCCCTGGGCCGGGGAGAGGGGGCTGTGGATGTTTTATTTTAATTTAATTTTATTTTTCTCATTTTTTAAAATTAAGGTGTTATATGTGTACATACCTTACCAATCCCCACCAGGGCTGGGGTGTTTTAGTCTCTCTCCCCTGGGGGCCAAGGGCCTGAGTCTAGATGGCTGCTATCCTTGGGCCAGTGGCATGGTGTGTATGTGTGTGTGTGGGGGGCTGTTGGGGAGATGTGGGCAAGATGGATGGATGGGAGCACACACCCCTAGGCAGGGGTCTGTGCTGCTGGTGAGAGCCATTCTGGGCACTACTGCTTGGTGCCCTGGACTGGGAGCCAGCCAGGGGTCCCCTGTGCAGCATGGGGAACTGGAGTGCCCAGATTGAGGGGTGGCCAGTGGCGGTGGCCACCTGGCCAAGGGGCGGGCATTCTGATCAGAACATCTTGGCCTCCCTCCTTCCTCTGCTTGGCCTCTTCTCTGGAGGCTCCAACAGAGACGCCACCTGCTCCCACCCCGGAGGCCGCATGGCCCGCCTTCCCCTCTCCCGACACCCCCCCCTCAGCACCACCTTCCCCACCTGTCCAGGTCCTGTCGCTGGGGGCGGACGTGCTGCCCGAGTACAAGCTGCAGGCGCCGCGCATCCACCGCTGGACCATCCTGCACTACAGCCCCTTCAAGGCCGTGTGGGACTGGCTCATCCTGCTGCTGGTCATCTACACGGCCGTCTTCACGCCCTACTCGGCCGCCTTCCTGCTGAAGGAGACCGAGGAGGGCCCCGCGGCCCCCGACTGCGGCTACGCCTGCCAGCCCCTGGCCGTGGTGGACCTCATCGTGGACATCATGTTCATCGTGGACATCCTCATCAACTTCCGCACCACCTACGTCAACGCCAACGAGGAGGTGGTCAGCCACCCCCGCCGCATCGCCGTCCACTACTTCAAGGGCTGGTTCCTCATCGACATGGTGGCCGCCATCCCCTTCGACCTGCTCATCTTCGGCTCGGGCTCGGAGGAGGTGGGTTGGCAGGGAGGCCGGGGGAGGGCAGGGGGGAGAGCAGAGGCCTCTGGAGGGTGTGGGGGAAGGGTAAGGAGAAGGCGGGGTGAAGGGTGACTAGAAAGAGCTGCAGGTGCCCAGAGGCTGCCCTAGCTGGCTCTTGCCAGTCCCTGGCTACCCCAGTCACCCGCCAGGTGCCGAGGTCCAGAGGGAGTGCTGTTTCCTTGTTTGTCTGTCCAGAGAGGCCTCTTCTCCTCCTCCTCCTCTTCCTCCTTCTTCTTCTTTTTAAAATATATTTTATTGATTTTTTACAGAGAGGAAGAGAAAGGGATAGAGAGTTAGAAACATCGATGAGAGAATCATCAATCAGCTGCCTCTTGCACAACCCCTACTGGGGATGAGCCCGCAGCCAAGGTACATGCCCTTGGCCGGAATCGAACCCGGGATCTTTCAATCTGCAGGCCGACGCTCTATCCACTGAGTCAAACCGGTTTCGGCGAGGCCACTTCTTCTAATGCACATACAAGTGCCCCGGGAGCTAGCGGGACCTCTGGCCAGCCACCTTAGGGTGGGTGCTGTGCCTTTCCAAGCCTCAGTTTCCTCATCCTCACTGTGGGGGCCTCGAACCCTTTTCCCAAAGCTAGCGCCAAGATTAGCGGGACCCTGTGCTGGGCTCAGTGCGTGGCAGGTGCTTCCACTGTTAGGAGGAAGTTCTGGCAGGAAGTCTTCAGGGACCTCTCCTCCCATGTCTGTCCCCCGAGGGCACTTTCCGTTGGTCCACTCCGACTGTCTCCTCCACCCCAGCTCATCGGGCTGCTGAAGACGGCGCGGCTGCTGCGGCTGGTGCGTGTGGCCCGCAAGCTGGACCGCTACTCGGAGTACGGGGCCGCCGTGCTCTTCCTGCTCATGTGCACCTTCGCGCTCATCGCGCACTGGCTGGCCTGCATCTGGTACGCCATCGGCAACATGGAGCAGCCGCACGTGAACTCCCGCATCGGCTGGCTGTACAACCTGGGCGACCAGATCGGCAAGCCCTACAACAGCAGCGGCCTGGGCGGCCCCTCCATCAAGGACAAGTATGTCACGGCCCTCTACTTCACCTTCAGCAGCCTCACCAGCGTGGGCTTCGGCAACGTCTCCCCCAACACCAACTCCGAGAAGATCTTCTCCATCTGCGTCATGCTCATCGGCTGTGAGTGGGCGCTGGGGGTGGGAGGAGCCCCGGGTGGAGGAAAGGATGGCTGCTGGAGGGGCCGACTGGGTCCCTGAGACTTGGAGACGCCAGGACCACTATCCCCGTGTGTTTGGGGGCTGGGACACGGGGGTAGGGGCCCAGGCAGAGCCCAGGGGCGTGTGTGACTCTCGCGAGCGTGCTAATATGGAGACGTGACTGCATGTGTCCTTGACTGGCGCAGGGGCGGGCAGGTTCCTTGGATGCTGACAGCCCACTCGCCCCCGCCCCCAGCCCTCATGTACGCCAGCATCTTCGGCAACGTGTCGGCCATCATCCAGCGCCTGTACTCGGGCACGGCCCGCTACCACACCCAGATGCTCCGCGTGCGAGAGTTCATCCGCTTCCACCAGATCCCCAACCCCCTGCGCCAGCGCCTTGAGGAGTACTTCCAGCACGCCTGGTCCTACACCAACGGCATCGACATGAACGCGGTGAGCCCGGCCTCCGGGGGCGGGCTGGCGGGCTGCAGGGGGCGGCGTGGCGGGGGGGGGGGGGCGGGGGGGACACGCCTCCGGGTGCAGTGATCACCCTCACGGTCTGTGGTTCAGGTGGGCACAGCTAGTGCTTAGAGAGTCCCTGAGAGGGAGGCACCTGGCTTTTGCCCTTGGAGCGCACTTACTGGGAGAGCTCTCGCTCTGGGGCAGGCGGCGACCAGCCCTTTCATGGCGGCCACTATGGTAGATCCTTAAAGCAGCCCTGCCCGGGACTGGTCTCCACCGAACACAGAAGCCAATGGGGCCTGAGGGCAATGAGGCGGGCCCCATGGTGCCTAGTTAGAAGGAGTGGAGCTGGAATTAGCACCCATGACTTTCCCCCAAACTTAAGGTGACCAGATCTCCCGCTTTTGGCGGGACAGTCCCGATTTTTAACAATTTGTCCCGAGTCCTGCGGTGTTTTAAAAAAAAAAAGTCCAAAAGATTTAAAAGAATCTTTCCAAAAATTGAGACTTTTTTAAAACACCGCGGAAACCGGGAAAAATTGTTAAAAATCGGGACAGTCCCGCCAAAAGCGGGACGTCTGGTCATCTTACCCAAACTGGACCCTGATGCTCCTCCCTGGGTCTCTGGGTGGGGGGATGGGGGTCCTGGGAGCACCCGCTGACTCGCTGAGCGGGCCCTGCCCCCAGGTGCTGAAGGGCTTCCCGGAGTGCCTGCAGGCGGACATCTGCCTGCACCTGAACCGCTCGCTGCTGCAGCACTGCAAGCCCTTCCGCGGGGCCACCAAGGGCTGCCTGCGGGCCCTGGCCATGAAGTTCAAGACGACACACGCGCCACCGGGGGACACGCTGGTGCACGCGGGGGACCTGCTCACCGCCCTCTACTTCATCTCCCGGGGCTCCATCGAGATCTTGCGGGGTGACATCGTCGTGGCCATCCTGGGTACGGTGGGGCCTGGGCGGAATGTCTGCCAAGGCCTGGAGTGCTCTGAGCCCTCTGGGGACACGGATGTGGGGGTCTGGGGACCAGGGCCTTGGCTCCTTTAATTCACCCGGCTCAGGCCCCAGGGGGCAGAGAGGAGCCCGCAGCGGGGAGGGTTGCTGAGCTCTGACGGCTCCCAGACTGTTTCCCTTCAGGAGCTCCCACAGGCAGGGCACCTGGCTTCCTCCGGGGCGGGCAGTGGAGGCGGTTATGCATCTGATTTTACTAAGGAAATGTGCTGAGTCTCTGCAGCCTCACGCTACGCAACCCGGCCCAGCACAGGCAGCAAAGCGAAGGGAGTCCTGCCCTTCCTCCCCTGCCCCTTCCTGGCACCTGTACCCTCACCCGGGCAGGTGTGCCTGGGCAGGGACCTCCTGCCTTCTCCCTTGTCACGGAGGGCCACTTTAGATTTTTAATTCACAGACACCCCCAAACTCACCGGAAACCAGTTTCTCTACACAGCACTCAGCCTTATGGGTATTTGCTGCGCTGTGCTGTGCTAAGCTATGCTGGCCTCTCTTCTTTCAGTAAACACAATGTGGGCCTTGAGTCCCTACTATGTTCTGATCTAGTCTGAAAAACAGTTATGAGGCTGCAGGGACTGGCCAGGGGAGGTTTGGAACATGGGTTTCAGGGGGAGAAGTGGAGTGAGAACCTGAGGAAGCCTGGGCCATGGGCACAGCGGGCATCCGGCTGGTCCTGCTGTGAGGCAGGGGGAGCGGAGACAGGGACTCCTCTTCCCCTCCTCTCCCACCCCAGGCACTGCTGAGGGAGGAGGGGGCTGGCTGATAGTTCTCTGGCTCTGGGGGCCGGGGGCTGGGTGTGGAAGGGGGTGAGAATTCGGGAAGACAGGTGCCTGCTGTCTCTGCTGCTGCCCCGGGGCTGAGTCCCCCCTCCTTGGCCTCCAGGGAAGAACGACATTTTTGGGGAGCCTCTGAACCTCTACGCGAGGCCGGGCAAGTCCAACGGGGACGTGCGGGCCCTCACCTACTGCGACCTGCACAAGATCCACCGGGACGACCTGCTGGAGGTGCTGGACATGTACCCCGAGTTCTCCGACCACTTCTGGTCCAGCCTGGAGATCACCTTCAACCTGCGAGACGTGAGTGGGCTGCCCTTGCAGGCTGCACCCTGTCTGACCTCCTGGGCTGCTCCCCTGCCAGTCAGACTGTTTAGAGTCTGACCCGGATGTAAAACCCAGCCTGCGCCCTTGTCCTGAGGCAGAGGCCACAGCACCGTCCCATCCCCGTGAAGGAGGGATTTGAGCTGCCCCCGGGCAGGGCGGGCGGCGTGGAAGGGCCCTGACACCTGCCTTGGTTCCAGACCAACATGATCCCCGGCTCTCCCGGCAGCACGGAGCTGGAGGGTGGCTTCCACCGGCAACGCAAGCGCAAGCTGTCTTTCCGCAGGCGCACCGACAAGGGTGAGGCGGCGAGGGGCAGGCGGGCCCCTTGAGGAGGGGACAGGGTGGAGGGAGGGGGCGTGGGCAGGGTCCAGGAGGCAGCTGGGGGGCTGAGGGTGGGCCCAGGTGACTAGGAGAGTGGAGCTCGGGTCCAGTAGTGCCGCTCTGTTCAGGCTCCACAGACATTCCTGCCTCTTCCTTCCGTGCTCCCTGCTCCTCACCTTAGCTGTCCAAACATAGCCCGTCTTTTCAGGCCACTTCCCTCCAGGAAGCCCTCTGCCCTCACGGCAGGGGCGCGCCTGAGCTGCTTTGGTCCTCCCAGGGCTGTATCTGGGTGGATGCTGCCTTGAACTGATGAGGGGAGAAGAGGCAGGACAAAGGAAGCGAGGGGGCAGGTCCTGGGCTGAGGGCCCGGGGACCCAGAGAGGCCGGCCCAGTGTTGCCGCTGCCCCTCTTAGGCAGCCGGCGGCTGGAGAGGACCTGGGCTTCAGGGCCTGCTCTGGTTCCCTCCCCCTCTCCCCCCTCTCCACTCTGATTTCCTCCGTGCCTCCTGCCCTCTCTGAGGCCCATTCTCTGTTTCCGACAGACCCGGAGCAGCCAGGGGAGGTGTCGGCCTTGGGGCCAGGCCGGGTGGGGGCAGCGCCTAGTGGCCGGGGTCGGCCAGGGGGGCCGTGGGGGGAGAGCCCGTCCAGTGGCCCCTCCAGCCCTGAGAGCAGTGACGACGAAGGCCCAGGCCGCAGCTCCAGCCCCCTCCGCCTGGTGCCCTTCTCCAGCCCCAGGCCCCCTGCAGAGCTGCCGGGCGGGGAGCCCCTGACTGAGGACTGTGAGAAGAGCAGTGACACTTGTAACCCACTGTCAGGTAGGGCGAGGGCTGAGAGGGGGCCGGGGGGGGGGGGGCGTCTGTCCTGGTCTCCCTCACCCCGCTCTCTGGCTCCAGGGGCCTTCTCAGGAGTGTCCAACATCTTCAGCTTCTGGGGGGACAATCGGGGCCGCCAGTATCAGGAGCTGCCTCGATGCCCCGCCCCCACCCCCAGCCTCCTCAACATCCCTCTTTCCAGCCCCGGCCGGCGGTCCCGGGGTGACGTGGAGAGCAGGCTGGATGCTCTCCAGAGGCAGCTCAACAGGTGAGGGCAGCCCCTGGGGTCCCATCGGGTGCCAGCGGTGTGTTGGGGGTTGGGGCTGGGGGTCTGTGAGTTGTGCGGTGCTGATATTGCAGTGTTCTCCGGATTCCTGGCTGTATTGTATGGAGACTGGAGAGTGTGCTCTGTCCAGCCCTGCCTGAGGGCCCATTCAGAGCTGAGCCCATCCAGAGCTGAGCCAGGGGCTGACACACCTGAGGTTGACCAGCTGGCCCATCAAGAGTGTCTCAGAGTCATAGCTACTGGTATTCCCACTTCCCCGGGACCCAGAGCATCCTCCTTCTTGCCCCAGGCTGGAGACCCGGCTCAGTGCAGACATGGCCACCATCCTGCAGCTGCTACAAAGGCAGATGACGCTGGTCCCGCCCACCTACAGCGCTGTGACCACTCCCGGCCCTGGCCCCACCTCTACCTGCCCTCTGCTGCCTGTCAGCCCCATCCCCACCCTCACCCAGTACTCCCTTTCTCAGGTGAGTTCCAACCCCCCTCCACCATGGCACCACAGCCCTGCTTTTCTGAGCCAATGCCATCCAAGCCTGCTTTGCTGCCCTTTCTGCTTAGTTGTGGGCCCCAGCCTCTCCCAGACCGTGCTCCGAAAGGAGGGCAGTCCAGGAGCTGTGGGCACAAAGCAGCAGAGCCCCCAAACCAAGGTCCCCAGGCAGCTGGGCAGAGGCACGAGCAGGTGTGGGCTCCCCTATGCCACTGGAGGCCCGATCTGCTCACTGCAGGCGTGTGGTGACCACGAGTGGTCTTCAGGGGATACTAACTGACCCCAAGACCTGGTAGTCGGTGTTGAGTGCCAGTGAGCCCCTGGGACAGGGTCCTAGGTCTCTGGTGTGAAGGGCACCCCCAGACCTGACTGTTGCAGCCAGTGGCTGTCACTCTGGCTGCTTTGCAGGGTTGTCCTGAGGGTTTGGCTAGTTCCTAGGGTAGCATTCTGGCCCCATTTCCCTCCTCCTGCTGGAGATGGTCCTCTCCTGAATGGCCTAACCAGACAGCTGTGTCTGGGCCCCTCTGGCTGCCAGAGCGGCCTGGGATCTGTCCTTTCTTCTGGTATCTTCCCCCCCCCCCCCCCCCGGGGTTCTGCTGCCAGCTCCTGTTTTCAGACACAGGGCCCACGCCAGCAAATGTGCCAGCCTCCCTTCACAGCCTCCCCGCAGACCTCACACAGACTCCTCAGCCCCTGGGAACCCCTCTGCTGGCCTGTGTGCCCCTGGCCTTCCGCATTTGGTCCCTGAGTTCTTTCTAGATTGGAGGAAGGAACCTTGTTTCTCTTTTAGTCCCAGCTTCTGTCCCAACTCAGGGCCCTTTGTCCTGGGTTGGTTTGGTTTCAGCTGCCCCCTTCCTGGGGAGTAGCTGTGGCCTTGAGTTCTCCCCTATCAGGGAAGCTCCCACAGCTCCCAGCTGCCCGGTTTGGCTCCTGCCCAGTACATTTCTCTACCTCCATCCTCGGAGCCGCCCTTGTGGTTGGAGTCCCGTGCTGCTCTGCCTGCCTTGGCCCTTCAGCTTGTCCTCTCCAACCCCCTTCTGTCTTCCTGTCCTCTGTCACTGGCTTCTCCTGACCCTCTCCAAACTCTGACCTCCTCTCTATCCACTCGACTGCATCTCCATTCCCTCCTTCCCCCTCTGAGGGCTCCTTGCCTCTTACACTCTCTGTTCTTTGCAGGTTTCCCAGTTCATGGTGTGTGAGGAGCTCCCCCCAGGGGCCCCAGAGATCCCTCAAGACGGCCCTACTCGACGACTCTCCCTGCCGGGCCAGCTGGGCGCCCTCACCTCCCAGCCCCTGCACAGACACGGCTCAGACCCAGGCAGTTAGTAGGGCGGCCCAGTGTGGACACGTGGCTCACCTAGGGTTCAGCACACGGCCTGGGCCCCTCCCCTCAGAGGCCCTGCCCAGGAGGCCCTGGCCATGAAGGGGAGAGGAACTCAAAGGGGAGAGGAACTCAAGGCACAGCCCCTCCCCAGCTCTTGGGACCATCTCCTCCTGCAGTGGGAGGGGCAGGGGCAGTGCTGGGCAGTGGACGGGGGTCTGTGGTCCCCCCACTGCCCTGGGGGCAGTAGCTGGTCTAACTGCCTGGAGACACCCCGCCCTAGGCCTTAGGCACCTCAAGGACTTTTCTGCTATTTACTGCTCTTATTGTTAAGGATAATAATTAAGGATCATATGAATAATTAATGAAGATGCTGATGACTATGAATAATAAATAATTATCCTGAGTTGACTCCGGTGGTGCTGGGAGGGCGTGGCATCAGCACGCAGTAGCCCATGTTCACGTTCACATGTCCGTGCCCACCGGCCTCTGCAGGAATGCACATGTCGGGCCTGTGGGGACTGCCTCGCCATCTGAGTGTGGGGTATGTGCGGGGGAGGGTATCCCTGGGGCTGAAACAGGTCAATGCCAGGGTTTCCTGCCTCCGTGGGGCCCTGGGTTCAGCGAAGCAAAGAACCACCTGAGCTGTTTGAATGTAGAGGCAGTCCTAATGGGAGGCAGTCCTAATGGATGCAGGCCTAATGGGATGCAGGCCTGGGCCCAGCCTCACCAGGTCATGTTGCCTTGCTGCCTGGTATTGGTTCCCAAAGCCCATCCCACACTGACCACTAATGCAGCCATGCCCTTGTCTTCTACACAGTTCATAAACCCAGGCATGCTGACTGTAACCTGCAGCTGGATTTGGCCCAAGTCTTGGCCCGTAACCCCTAAACCCTCAACTTGGCCTTATCTTGACCTTAATCCAGATTCTTATGGGCCCCATATATGCCAACCCCCCTGTGGACACACTGGTTCCTTAGCCCTGACTAGAGCTCCCTGGTGTCTGGCTGCAGGTGGGCTCTCCTTGATCACCTGATCACCTGTGATCCTTGATCACAGATGAGCTGCCAAAAGAGGGTGGCTCATTCCCATGATTGGGGTGACCAGTCAGAACATGCCCTGGGGCTAGTGAAGGGTGGTGCCCTCACATGTGCTCGTGTGGGTGGGCAGGTGTGTGTGGGCTGCTGGTCCCGAAAGGGCACCCAGTCTCCCTGAGGAGCAAGTGCAGCAGCCATCTCTGCTGGTGGGCGAAGGTGCTGCCAAAGGACTCCAGAGCCCGCCTAGTCCCACACTCTGACCCTGTGAGGTGGCTTTGTTAACCTTGATTAAAAGTCAAACTTGGCCATTGTCACTGCCTAGGATGGGGGGTGCTGGGAGGAGAGACCAGGTCTCTGAGCAGCCTGGAGGGGTCTTTGCTGTGCCCAGGGCAGACAGGAGAGCGGAAAGAATTTCTCTTGCCCAGGGCAAAGAGACAGGAGAGTATGAGACTCTGGGTCAGGGTAGAGGGGGCGGCAGAGAGAGGTGGGCCTGGCAGAAAGGGTGACAGTAGCCTGGGAGAAGGGATATCTAAGGGGCAACTGATGCCTGGGCCTCAGGAAGAGAGAAAGGAGAAGGTGGGTCCCACTCACTGCCTGGGGCCCACCGTGCAGCCACTGTGCATCCTAGGACAGCTCTGGTCAGACAAATGGGCTGTTTTCTCTGCTGGCCTGCAGGCAATGAGATGTTTGCTGTCAGCCCCGTGAGGTGGAGGTTCAATGTCAGCCACCAGAACGGAGCATGCTCAGTTGAACAAACGAATGAATGGATGAATGCAAGCAGCACCCTCCTCCCTGGGACAGAGGTCTTTGGGCTGGACAGGCAGGACTGCAGGAGGCCTCACCTGGCTGGTGGGAGCAGAGAGGGGCACCTTCCCAGGGCTCTGGCCCCTCAGCCTGGTGACCATATCTCTGGCCTGTTCCCTGGTTTCCCCTGTGACCTGGGCTTGCAGAGCCACAAGAACTTGGGTGATGGGGTGGGGCCAGGTGGTGGTGTAGTCCTCTCCTCTCCGCAGGGTTCAGCACCAAATTGCTGGGGGGCTGTTGTCCAGAGCTGAAGGTTCTCCCAAACCACGAGGGCCAGGGAAGAGGAGTGGGAGGGGGAGGAGCTGTGTTGGGCAAGGAAGGAGTTCCATGTGGTTGCCAACACCCAGGAAGGGCTTAGAGCTGGAACACAGTCAGGGGTGGGGGCTGGAACCAAAGGGAGAGGACCAGGCTGCCTCCCCCAGCTCCACCTGTGCACCAAGGGCTTGGGAACCGAGTGAGGCCCTGGTGGTGTGTTCCAGCCCCATGACTCAGCCACTGCCAACCTCCAGGTGCAAGCTCTACACCTGTCCTTACCTGGACTCCTGACCCTACTCAGCCCAGGCAGCCCAGATCTCACATTTCATTGACAAATGGGAGGAACTGATACTCAGCACATCTTTTGTGGCCAGTACTGTTCCTATTGTCTGAAACCAAAGGCTGAGGCTGCACCCATGGACGCAGGAAGCTGTCTGAGCCCACAGCCTCTGAGAATGAGCTGTAGTGAACCAGGTGGTCTGAACCACCACCTGCTGGCTTAACCCTTGCTCACACGGCTTCCCTTGTTCAAGGGGCAGTGACTAGGAGATCATTGCAAGGTTTGGGGATTTCTAGAGCCTTCTCTCCCCTGTAGACTTTTATACTTCTGCTCCTTTGCCTGGAGCGCACTTTGCTTGGTGAATTCCTGCTAGTCCTCAGGGGACTCCTTTAGGAAAGGCTCAGAGCTCCCCTCAGTTGGGCTAGGAGCTCCATTGTGCAACCTCCCCACCCTCTGCTCTCCTCACCTCACTCTCAGGACACTGGACTGCTGGATCTGGGGGGCTCATGCCTCTGTGCTGCACTCTGTCCCCACCAGAGCCATGCACAGTGGTTCCCCAAGAGTAGGCACACAGCAACTTACTAAATGCATTTGGGTTATGATTAGTAGTAACATCCTTAACATCAAAAGGTACTTGACAATACTTGACAATCAAAATGACAACTAAAGTATAGAACAACCATCATTCAAAACTGCCTGAAAGCTCCTGTACCTAGAAGAAAGCACACTGAGACCAGTAGGAAGGATGGAGGCACGGAATGGACTGGTCTGACACCCGCGTGTGCCAGCTTTTTAGGGGAGGGAAATTGTCTCTGTGGAGGCTGCCTATGAGGAGCAAGGGGTTCCAGCCTGACACCAGCCCCCAGCCCATGGTTCCAGAGCTGGGGAGAAAAGTCTTGAGCTGTAAAAACCAGCTGGATGTGACTGAGTGACACAGAACACCTGGATGGAGATCTAGGTGTTCCATTTAAAGGGCTGGTGAACATACTTTCTCGAATACCTGCACTGGGTGGCTTTGGGGGACCCAGGCACATATGGGAAGGAACTGGATTGTCTGGCATAGGGGCAGAAACTCCAGGGTGGCTTTCTTCCAGAGAGGGGTGCTTGCAGGAGTCATTGTTCCTGTGCCAGGACCTCCCCCATCACAGGGCTGACTGGCAGCCATATTTGAGTCTCCATTAGCCTGGAGCACTGTTTGCTCTGCCCCGAGGATTTCTTGAGACCCACCCTATCCAAGAGGAACCAAAAGAGGCCCATACCACCCATACCACTCAAGCTATTTGCAGCAGCTTTTCCATATGGAATGGCTGGTCCTGGTTCAGGCTCTAGACTTTGCTAAAATCTCTCAAACAAGCAGCAACTGGTGACAGCATGTCCCAAACCTATTAATAAAAGGTATAAGACCTGGTAGTAGGACTGGCCTGCCTTGCATCACAGCTGGTCCTCACCTGGGCATTTCCAAGCCTAATATAAGTACCAAATAGCTGCCCTCTGCAGATCCCTCTGTAGCTCCTGATAGGTGGCCCCAGGCAGTGAACTGATTTTGCACCTCCCTGGAGGCCCTAGAGCCAGTGCACTTATGGAAAGCTTCAGACCATATCAGATTACAACTCTACACATCCATAAGCAACACACTCATGAAGCAAACTGAGTGAACACCGAAGTCCCACTGAAGCAAGTCCTTCTCCATAAGGGTTTTTCCTGCACAGTAGCTCTTTCACTGTAGTTGCAGCTGGTCCTCAAAGCCAATTGGCCTAGAGGTCAACTCCTCCTAGTGATGCCAACTGCAATCAAGGTTCAACTACAAGACTGTGCCATAGCCCACACAGGTGCACTTAGAGTGCCCAGCTCAGGTGACTGGAGAGGCTTAGCCACTGGCCCTACAGGACACCTACTACACAGGCCACTCTACCAATTCCAGGAGATATAGCAGCTCTACCTAATACATAGAAACAAACACAGGGAAGCAGCCAAAATGAGGAGACAAAGAAACATGTCTCAAATTAAAGAAACGGAAGGCAGCAAACTACTGGATACAAAGTTCAAAATCATGATTATCAGGTTACTCAAGGATCTTCATGAAACTTTCAAGGACCTTCATGAGAATGTCGAAGACATGAAAAAGGACCAGTCAGAAATTAAGTATAATAACTGAAATAAAAAATAATTTACAGGGATTCAACAATAGAGTAGAGGATTCAGAGAATCAAACAAATGGTTTAGAATAAGAAGAAACAAAAACAACAACAACAAACACACACACACACACACACACACACACCCAATCAGAAGAGCAAAAAGAATAAAAAAATATGAAGCCTCTGGGACAACTTCAAGTGTACCAACATTCCCATTCTCAGAAGTAGAAGAGAGAGTGATCAGAATATTGAAAAACAATTTGAAGAAATAATGACAGAAAACATGCCCCACCTGGTGAAAGAAAAGTCCAGGAGGCGCAGAGAATCCCAAACAAGAGGAACCCAAAAAGGACCACACCAAGACACATCATAATTAAAATGCCAAGTGTTAAAGACAAAGAGAGAATCTTAAAAAAAAATATTTTATTGATTTTTTACAGAGAGGAAGGGAGAGAGATAGAGAGCTAGAAACGTCGATGAGAGAGAAACAT